CGCACAATCCCGAGGCACGAGTGTCGTTACACACACACACACACACACACACACACACACACACACACACACACACACACACACACACACACACACACACACACACACACACACACACACACACACACACACACAAGGTAGGTAGGTAGTAAGGTGAAGAACAGCCAGGCTCGGACTGGACACCAACGCGGTATGGGTGGACGCTGGACAGATGATGACGACACGAACGAGCGACACACAGACACAAACAAGCTCACAAGACACACAGCCAGCGGGCTGCCACACACCCTGAGTCGGCGTACACACAACTCAGGGCCACATCCTCCCTGTCGCCCCCCCCAGCACTCCACGGTGCCAAGGGCACAAACAAGGGCACAACTCAAACAACAGACGACATGAAGTGACATGCGAGGCTAGAGCAGGCTTGCTCTACCTCCAGCAATCTCTCCGGCCGGCGAGGCACGGACGAGACCGTGTGTGGGGTCTAAGTGAGGTGTCTATGGACGCTCTCCTCACGGGCTAGCTGCCTGCGGCTAGCCCTCATCCAAGGCTAAGCGCCCACAAAAAAATACCTCGCGCTGAATCCTGCTTGTGGTCCTATCTGCGCGAAAGGGTGAGTCCGCCTGTGCCCCCCGGTTGCCTCTCTTCGCCCGACGCGCCGCGCCCACTCCCGCGCAGGCGTGCCCAACCAACCATGGCGGCCGTCACGTATGAGTACATGAACCCCAACTACAAGGAGACGCTCGACCGCGAGTGGTGGGTGACGTCTTATCAGCTCATGCCCGACCCCGAGTACCTGGAGAAGATCAAGAACAAGGACCCGTCAGTGACCGAGGTGGACGCAAGCTGCCGGCAGCTGCAGGGCTCCAGGCGCGCACCGCCTCGCCGCGCGTGTGCCCAGATGTAGGGGCGGGCGGCAAGCGCCGCCTCTCGTCGGATGCGAGCGCATGGCTCACTGCGGACGCCTCCGCCCGCAGGATTGAGATCCTCTCGGAGATGATGGCGGGCAACCCGCACATCACCGCGATCGACCTGCGCGGCAACGGCTTCGACGCCGACGGCCTCTATGCCCTCGTCCAGGTGACGGCCGCTCGCGACTGCGCGCGACACAGCGCTCCACGGGGAGTCGCTCAACCGGAGTGGCGTTGCGGCACCCGCTGGCGGGGAAGGGGAGGCTGCCGAACACTTCCGACCCGGGACGGCTGCCGGCTGATGGCACGGCCCCCGCCGTCGCATCGGCAGGCGCTCAAGACGATGCCCAAGGTTGCCAAGCTCAACTTGCGGAACAACTGCTGCCGCAACC